AATCCAAGGAGATGTATCTCCTTGTAGTACCTGTGTTGTATTAATCAGACTGCATCTGATCATTAAATTCATGTTTCTGTTGGCTTAACTTACATTAAATAGTCATAGCAAGCATCCTGAGCTCTGCAGGGCAAAAAAAAAAAAAAATCCCAGAGCACTTACATGAGATTTCTGACACTGTGGAAATAAAAACAAGTTTAGCAACACCACAACTATTACAGGGCTGGGCTTATTTGAACTGTGGAAACTTAATTATAAAAATTGCATTCTAACTGATTACTGCTGGGATAATTACAGCAACACCTTTACAAGAAATGGTGACCATCATATGTTTGTCAACAAAGAAGCTTCCTTTAAATTCAACAACCAATAATTGTTTCATTAAACCAAATTTAGTTCCTCATTTGAGAACATCCAAATGCTTGCCTATTCCTTCCTATCTCTGAGAGGTAATTTAGGAGATAAAAAGCAATTTCTATAAATACTCTATCTATATATGTAAGTATCCAAGGAAAAGAAGAAAAAGAAAGACTTCATTTCATAGCTGATCTGGATGTAAGCTTGCTGCTATTGATAAGAACATAAGCACAGAGTGAGTGATCACTACAAATCCCTCTCTAATTGGTGCTTGGAGGCCTTAATAAAATATGAACAGAATCCACACTACATGTTCATTTTCTAATTTGCAGAACAGATTCAACTATTGATATTCTAGCAGCACCCACAGCATAAACTCAGTATGAGGACCCCACAGTATCTGTACATTCAGAGAAGGAGAGGGATAAATAATTTATTGTTTTTCAGCCTCTTTACAAGTTTTCTTGCAGCTGCAGAATCCTGTTGCTATCCTGTGCAGAACCCTGTGTTTCAGGTGTGCAGCTCCTGAGTGCCCCTTGCCAGCAGCCCACCGCCCAAGCACACAAAATCTGGTGGCTGCCTCAGTAAAGCTGCAGGGCTCAGTGACAAACAGGGGTTATTTTAGTCACTGGTCATCCCTGCAAAGCAGCCTGAGTTTTGCAGGGGCAGATTTACCAAGATGGTGACTCACCTGGTGTGGCAGCTGCTGACCCAGGGCAGGCTGCTGCTGAGCCATCCTCTTCTCAGGACAGCCAGAGCAGCCTCCACGCCTGCCTGGTGCTGCCAGGCTCACCTGGGGACCTCAGCCAAAGGCTGAAAGCAGGAATCTCTGCACCACAAATTAAATAAAGCTGTGGAGCTGTGACTGAAACAACTCATACTCCCTGAGGAGCTGGGCTCTGCACAGGACAGGATGCGCATTGCACTGTGCACAGTTGGAGGCTGAGATGAAGAATAGGAGAAAACTATTCCCAGCACAGGCTGACTCAAGAAAGAAACCTCTCATTCCTTTGCTGTCAACAGCACACAGTGCTCCCATCCACCGTGGACCTTCCAGGGACAGGAATTTGCAGATCTCTCTTAAGCTGCAAAGCTCCCGTGCCTTCGTGTCTGGCACAGGGCATCCCCCTTCCCACCCCTCTCCATTCTGACCTGCAGCATCAACTCTCCTGTGCTGAGAGCAGTCATACATGGCAAAAACCAGCATGGTAGGGTTTGCTAGACACTGTGTGGAGGGCATAAAGCTCTTTTCCAAACATGGATGGAGACAGAACCTCTAAACATGTCTTTAAACCTGACCAGAAGGGTTTTTGCTCTGCTATGTCACCGGGTAAACATTTCAGCTACACCACACCATCATTTTACCCTTTATAGTCACCTGGCACTGCTGTGTAATTCTGCTGAAGGAAGGACTCTCAATTCACCCTCCTTGCCTAAACAATTTCCTTGGCCTTTGAAGAAACAGCACAAAATAATAAAGCCTCCTAACCTTTATTTAAGAACCCTTAGAGTAGCAGGTGTGCACTTCCATATGGGTAAGCCCCATCAGGCACCCAGCTGCAACCACAGAGCGTGTTCATTACCAGCTATTCTGTGGGATGGAATGAATTCAGGAAGATATTTCAGTTATTGAAATGTGCCCGTGCCTCAGTGATGCAACAGCATTAGCATCAACCCCGCACATGAAACAGGAAGTCACCACACATATCCACAACCTCTTCTTGCTTTCTTAATGATTATGGTTTGCCTAAAATCATCATCTCCTGATGTGCTGCACACAGTGACCTCAGGGCCCACACTGAGTTTTTCACAATCACTGTGTAATGATAAAAAGTCCACATCTAAACCACCAGAAATGCGAAAGTTATTGCTGGGCTGTCACAGTGACAGCCCAGCTCTGCAGCAGCCTCTGGGCATTCTCCAGATTTCCCCTCGGATGGGTGTCATTGTCACCAATTCGGTGGGTCATTAACGGCGCTGTCACCTGGGCAGGAGCTGTGGTGTCACTTCTCCCACTGTCACACCACAGCTTGCTCATCCTCACCGTGGAAGCAGCTCCGTGTCAGGCAGAGGTGAGCAGTGCCACGGCTGATGCCGAGGTACATTTTGCACACCATTTCCTCAGCCAGGCTGCTGTCACTGTGCTGCACTTCATCACCACCCCACAGGCCGCCCAACAAGGGTTTTGCTTCTGCTGTCAGCACTGATTCTTAATACCTGCTCTGTATTTTGAATGATGCTGCTTCAGACACTTGCCATAAGGACTACATTTAGCACACGAGGCTGGATCCCAGCACGGAGCAGGATTTGCAGTGGAGCTGGGACCTTGCTCCGGTGTCCTGTTGGAGACCCACACAGGTGAGGCATCAGGTTCATGGGGCCCAAACACCCTTGACTTAACTGTCGTGGAAGCAGGCAATGCCAATGGCAAGGAAATGCTGTGTTCTCCATCTCCATGGGAACGAAACCTGGTACTTTTAACTGGTAGCACGGCCAGTCTTTCCTCAGAAGATAAAGACCACTGTGTGGGCAGGGTTTTTATTCTCTCTAAATAAACAGATCTTTCTGCTGATATCTACTCTTGGCAGCCAGGCAAGGAATTAGCTGGAATATGAAGAATGAGCTAATTCTGGACAAAAGTTTCGCTTCAGCTCCAGAGTACTAAAATCAGGTCTCCTAATGGCCTGTTTTCTTTAGGTTGGGGGATTTTTTTCACCCCTAGGGTACATGGAATGACACCTTCTTTTGTGCTTACAAAACAAATGCTGCCTTCCATAGTCTGGAGGAACTTAGGAAGTTTTTAATTATAAGAAAAGCAAAACGAGGACAAGTGAAGTTGGACTGTGCAGAGTGCTCTGCTGGTCTGATCTAGGACAATGTGCCCTACATAGAGCTCAAATATAACATCCTTTGGGAGGCTGCCTTGCTTCCATTCAGCTTTTGTGAGACCACCCCTGCTGCCCCCGCAGCACTAATGACAGATTCCTGAAGCATAACTGGTGTCATGGTCTTGCCATCAAAGCTGTAAACAAAACCATTAGTGGCAGGCATGGAGAGGGAGGGAAAGCCATGTGCAGATGGAGAATGTATCTGAGTGGTATTCTTGCAGTTTCTGCTTTCTTCCCGCTATCAGCTCTGAAATAGCTCATCCCCAGCCACAGTCAGCAACTCTACCCCAGGTGGGTGACGTTTTCCCTTGATAGATACAAGGTCTGGCTTTTTTCTTCTATTTGTCTGGCTTTCCTGCCAAGAAAGTGCCAGTGGATAGAGCTGAAATAGTTGCTCTTCCTTGATGGAAACCTTGTAGTTGGCAAATAGAGGGATATTAAAGAAAATAGAAAGTCTTTAGATATGCTATTAGATACTGCAAAGAAAGTGTGGCCAAATTGTTACTTCTCTCTCCTATACCGTACTGGGCAGGAAATTCCTGAAATCTTGTATTTGCAAACCCTCCAAGAGAAAATATCACAACGTTTTTTTTTTTTCTTCAAAAAGCCTCATTAATTTTCCTGCTGGCTCTTTCTTCCAGGGGATCCCTTCTGTGCATTTCTGAGCAGAGAGAACAGTTTGTGTTCACCTCTATCCCACACAGCTAAACTGCAGGGTGGATGTTTCAGTGACTCAAGAGGACACTACAGATGCCAGCCAACAAAAATCCAACAGGCTCAATGAAGGGAAGGCTTCCTCCAGCCTCTCCTGACAGCCCCCAAACACACACACAGGTTCAGAGAGTGTCAGCAGCAGTGTCTGACACCAGGTCAAACCAAAGAATTCTTTGTGCATCCCGGGCTGCCAGTGTGAGCCCCTCGCCCACAGCACGGCACCCTGTGCTCCAGGGAAAGCACAGGCTGCCACAGCAACCACAGGGCTGTGTTATGGGTTTAGTTTTCATTTGGTTTCCTCCTCCTGGTCTTGTTTCTTGCTGCTAACCCTGGCTTTGCCTAGCAAGCCAGGTTCTTTTTCCCAATAATGTCTAATGAGAACAGTACAGGCAATGTGCTGTGCTTTAGCAGGGTGCAGATACACCCTGAGATCAATTCTGTGGGGCAAACTCATTCTTTAATATCTGTTTTTAGAGCCAATGAATTAATTTCTTGAAACTAGAACTCTCTTACCTCTCTGTCATTATTAGGCATGCCCTTATTGTGGATTTAGACTCCACTTGCACCAAGCTGCTGGTGTCTGCTAGGTCTTTCTTAAATTACAAGGACAGATGGTTAAACTGGGGCTGAGGAAGAAGCTGTTCACACTAAACAGAGACTTCTGTGCACTCTGTGGGTGGAAAGGGGTGTCTTTGTTGTGCATCACAGCTATGGGAAATATGGGGATGAAACCTCAATGTAATGATTTGGGCAGAGGTTAGACAAACAAGAAGAAATAAAGAAATGAAATGCTGCGGGGTTTACACCACTTTGGATGCAATGGAAGGGGAAACAAGACATGCTGGATAACTGCAGCACTACCTCACCCCTATTCCTTAGCACAAACCAAAATGACCCAGAAACACTTTGTATGTTTGGGGTTTTCTTGCTGGGACCCTAAAGGTGAGCTGCAAGATGTCCCATGTATCAGACAGCAAACAAACCCAAGTCAGGAATAAAGAAGCCAAAGTAAGGCAGAGCACAGTGAATTCTGTTACTTACAGGTGTATGTCATTTCAAAGCTGTCACTGATGTTCACAATGTCGATCTGGGGAAGGAGCTTAGGGGGTTCTGTGAGCTGAGATAACGCAAACCTAAAAGCCGCATGTTCCTGGGACTGTTGATTAGGAAACAACCCCCCTGGGGAGAAAAACAGAACAATAAGAAGAAAGCTCTTAAGAATATTCATATTAGAAACATCATCAGTCCAAAATATTCCTGAGAGCAGAGCCTACAGCTCTGCAGCCCAGGGAGTGCCTCCAAACTCAGAAATCCTCCAGAACACAAGTGCCAAGGGTTCCGTGCCCACTGCGGACAGGTTGGGAGCAGAAAACCTTCCCAGCATGTCTGTTATGTAACCCTGGATCACACACAGGAGTCCTGATGCATCCCCAGGCCAGGCAGCTGCAGGACAGGGGTAATGCATGGGGTGAGCTCCATCTCCTCACCGCCATAACTTCAAGCACGAGGAATGGGAATTCTGTCAATATCACCTCAGTACAGGAAGAACGAGATTCTTCCCTCCTCCCCTAGCTTGGAACGAGGCTCAGTTTAAGCCCTGCTGACTGGGAGGAGAGCTTTGCCACAGGATAAGGGTCCCCTCACACTGTGGGACTCGGGGGTACAGGACAGCCTGGCTGAGCCTGGCCCAGCAGGGGACAGTGCTGTGACAGCCAGAATGACACGGGACTGTGACCAAACAGCTGCTGCTGCTGGAGGTGTGTTGCACAGAAAACCCCTGAATTTAACAGGTGACAGTGGACAAACTCAAACTGGGCAGGAAACTTAAAGCTTGACTCTCAAAGGAATCAATCTATACAGAAGTGCAGATAAGCCGAGAACCACAGAATGACACAAACAGGGCAGGAACAGGGACCGGGCTGGACCTAAGCTCAGAGCCTCCCTTTCCCCATGGATCTGGAACAAAGTGCAGCGATAACCCAGCCCTAGGAAAAGTTTCCTGCTGCTCCCCCAGCAGGAACCTTGGCTTGCAGCAGATCCCTTCACAGCCTCCAGAAAGATGCTATTAAATTCAGCTTGTCTGTAATCTATATGCATTTAAAGAAAGCGCTGCTATTGGCATTTCAGGAGGAGGGAAACAAAGCACTTAGCAACAAGGGTGAATTAAAATAAAGCTGCAGAAAGTATCAATGCCCAAGACGACTTGAGGAAGAAACAAATAGGCAAGGACCTGCCATCAACGTCACTTTGCACATCTTTAGTAGAGGGGGCATCTCCTTGTGTGAAAAGGGCTATTTGCGCACCAATATCCCCCCACCTCCCCCGTTCCTCCCACCCCACAGCCTAATCACGGATATCGGAGGAATCAGATGCTCCTAGCCAAGTTGCATTTGTTGAAAGGCAAAAAAATCTGGGATCTTGCACAAATTTGGGGTAAAGGGGAGACGGGAAGGGAGGGAGACAAGGATGCAGCATCAACAGCAATAAAAGCACTGATTGTGCAGCTGGACTCAGGCAGGAGTTGCCTGAACTTGGTGGATCAGCAATTGATTGGCATTGTAAAGAGAAGGGAGGCGGGAAAGAAAACCGGCATGCAAGGGAAGGGAATCTGGGGCCAGGTTACACACGATCACCAATAAAGATCAACGGGAGAGTAATGATAAACGCGGGGAAGGAGGGAGAGGAGCACTGAGAAGTTATGGGAAGGGAGGATGGAATCAAACAGGCACTGCTGCTGTGCAGGGGAAGCAAGTGGAATGAAATGGAAAGAGACTTCAATGCAAGACCTTCTTCCAATAGCTTTGCCCTTATTCTTTAGCAATAACAACAAGAGAGCGTCTGTTTGTTACCTCCCGTCCCAGTTACCTACAGATGAGAGCATCCTCACCAAAATGTATCATGCAACCGCCGATTTTGCAAATGCAGCAACACACAATGGCAGCCCAGGCATTTCTCAGGGCAAGAAACAGATATTTTTTTTCATCCTTCCTCCATTTCGGAGGCACTTTTCTCCCTCTGTGTTGGTGTGTGTGTGTGTGTATGTGCAGGTATTTATTCCCAATCTACCCCTCCCCCAAAGCCAATTTGATCCATCTCTGCTCCGGCAAAGCTGGTACCAATGCACACATCCAGCCCTCGCAGTTCAGCCCCTGGCTCTCTCACACACATACACACACATTGTGCTTTTCCAACCACACGACCCGGTCAGTTTTCCCCCACCACCCCCTCTCCATCCCTACCCACTCGCCAGGGACCATCATCCCCAGCCCCGCACTCACCTATCTGGATATTGTTGGGGAAATTGGCCCCTAACACCGCCCCTAGGAAACTGGTGCAGAAGAAGGCAAAAATGTGCTGCATATTCCCTTTTGCATTGGCGAAAAAGAAGCCCAGTTCCAAGCATAGATTTGATTTTTCCCCCGCTCTGCTCTCTTTAGCTGCCTCTCTCGCCTCCCCTCCGCTGCGCCTTCGGGATGCGCGTCTCCCCCGCTCCGGATCCAGCGCTGAGACTGCCGCTGAGCAGCGCCTGGCAGCAGGATTAACTGAGCCCCGAGAGGAAGAAAGAGAGCCCGCTCCTCATCCACATCCCTCCCCCGCCACACACAACGCACACGCACACGCACACGCCAGGCGCTTCCACCCAGCTCCTGCCCCTGCTCCCAGCTGCAGCTCCGCAGCTGGAACCGCATCCCCCCGAGCCCGCTCTGCCCCCGGGGCTCCTGCCTCGGGTCTCTAAGGGCAATCCCTACCTGCCCCTAAATCCCAGCTTTCCCCCTCAACTTCTCTTGGCAGGAGCTCAAAGGAACCTGTGAATCAGTAGGTGGCAAACTCCTCTAGAGAAAGAGCTGAGACTCTTCTGCCTGGGATCCATCGCTTCCCAACCTGGGCTCGCACCCCTGGCTCCAGGAGTTGAACCGATCACTCTCCCGAACATGGCTCATTAGGATAACAAAGAGGGTCCTGCAAATGTGCCTCGGAAGGAGGGATTTTAGAGAGATCCTGAAGGATTAAAAAAGCAAACCCCCCCATCACCTTTCTCATTGATTTTTCCTGCCCGCTCTTAATGGATGAGGCTTTTCACCACTGCACTTGATGTGGAAGAATCTGAACTCACCAGCACCATCAGAAAGGGCAGGCTTCTGCAATTAGGGGGCTATCATAGCCTGGACCATTTCAGAAGATGTTTCATGGCAGTTCTAGCAAGGCTGGAGCTTATTTGACCATGGGCAGATTTGCTCAAAAACAAAAAGAGAAAAATAAAGGTAGAACCAATAAAATGCAGCTCCCAGGTACAACTTGTGATTTGGAAATATTTGAAGAACTGTGGTGAACACAGAGCCATAGTCACCTCAGAAAGGAGAGAAAATTCATCCATTCCCCCCTGAAGTCCCAAACCAAACCAAACCAAACCAAACCAAACCAAACCAAACCAAACGCCACTCATTGCAGATGCCAGAACCTCAAATCCCATGTCCAGGTCCAGATATTCTGTCCTTGATGTTTCCAGCCTTGATACATACCAGGGGTCTATACCAGAGAGGAAATAGAAAGAAAAAAGGAATGTTTGGGGCAGAATTAGAAAAGACTCAGATGCCCTGTGTCCTGCTTGGGTGAATGGTCCCTTGCCCTGGTGCTCTTTCCCCATCTCCAAATGTGTGTGGTTAAACTGGAAGAACACCAAAGAGTGGTGGCCAATGTTTAAAGGTCAAGTTGGATAGAGGGGCACACTGCAGAGTGGGAAAACTGAAATGGGACATGACCAAACCTGCAAAATCTGCAGCAGCACAGAAAAGTTCCCTGTTGGCCACAGCACCCAGGTGTGACATAAGTTTATGATGCAGGGATAACACTATTTTTTATATCCCCAGGCCTTGTTTAATCTCTGCAAATAAAGAATTTGGGATTTTTAATATCTTCCTAGACAGTTTTATGGATTTCACTGTGACTTCTAGAGTGACAAAATGCTGAAATACCCACATGAATGCCAGTTAGTGTGGGGTCTCAGAACTGCACTCTTACAGCTTTGCACCAGAGAAGAGTTGCACTGATGCCTGGAACGTGGCCTCTTATAGGACAGAACGTGGAGTTACACTGCAAAAAACAGAGCCCAAAAGGTTTTAATTTCATCATGGTGAGCGACGAAACATCCTTCTAGGATGGATTCCTTTTTGCCCCAAAACACCCTTTCCCAGGTGACCAGGCAATGACTCCTGGTGCCAGGTTCACTAGAGAAGAAATTCAGGCACTCAGGAACCAGATAAAGGTGGCCAAAGGATGCCCTGACCCTGTCTCACTGCCTGGGTGACCTTCAGCCCACAGTCACATTCAAGCACAAAAAAATTCCCATCTGCTGGTGATAGGAACACCTTCCCTAGACTTCCATTTCCCTCCCTGTATAATTTAAGCAATACTGATTTGAGGCTAGAATAACCTGCTGATAGGTTTTATGGGATCTTGTTTTCCATCCAGAATTTAATAGAAACAGCTGCATTTATAATCTGAAGAGAGTCACTGAAGGATAACCAATGCAACAGAAAGATGCCAGCACGTTTTGCAAACTCCCAAACAGCCTATCTGATAACAATAATAGTAGCCATAACAATAAAATATTATAATAGCTTGCAAAACCTTGCACAGTCGCATTAATTAATAATGCTGCTTTTGTCTATAAACCTCTCAAAATGCAGGTGGCTTAACAAGGGGAACCTCACCACAGTGTAACAAGATAAGTAGTAATAAGATCATTATTTTAAGAAGGTATTCATTTCCGTTTTCCCTACAGATAACAACATTTTATTCATGGTTTGTTAGCATAAGGATGTTCAGAATTAACTCTAGGTGCTCTGAAGGTTCTTTAAGTCAGCATGAAAGCAGTATAACATCTGAACTTCTGGGCAAAAAACAGAGTCTTGGGAAATAGATGAAACTCTTCAACTTCACAAAAGTAGTCACAACAGAAAGAGATCAATCCACCAATCTTCTGAAAAAACACAAATGAATTATCTTGATTCCTGTAAACAACTGAAGGAGATTTTTTTCTCCTTTCAGATTTCAGAAAACAATGAAAATCATGCAATACAGAATACAAGCATATTGCACAGAGCCATCTTAATCAGGAGCAACTGAAAATATCAGGGATGGAGTTTTGTTGGACCTGTATTTTGTCTCAGAGTGTTCTAAAGATATAGATGAGACAACTGGTGGTCAACAGGGAACATGCAACATGGTTTTGTGGGATTAATTAATGCAAATTGTAAAGAATTAGGTTAAAAAAAAAAAGTTGTCAAATTTAAGAAATGTTAAAAAGGCATTTTGAAAGAGTGTAGCTGATTCACTTCAGGTCTTTTCCAGACATGAGAGTAAGAAAATGACTATGCCAGAGCTGCTGTTCCCCTTGTGTTGTGCCTGCAGCTGACCTTGCTGTACTGGGCACGAGCCTTTGTTCTCCCCCATTTCTGCTCCAAGGTTTGGCTTGGAGCAAGAGGATTTTGGCTCTGAGAAGGATGTCTGCTGCCCTCCTCTTTGCTGTGCATGGTGTGCAGTTGTCCACCCCAGCAGCGTGCTCTGCCCTTGCTATCAGAGCTTTTGTTTCCAGGATGGGAAATCAGTGCTTGTTGCAGCAGATATATTTCTGTACCAGAAGCCTTGAAAAAAACAAAGGACTCATTCACATGCAGAAGCCTCCAGCCTTGAAAAATGAGGAAATCAACAGAACTCGGCATCCGTCCGACCTCCCAGCAGAATTATTTCCCCCTGTGCCCACTGTGTTTTACATGATGCTCCTGAATGTCTTTAAAGAGGCTATTGAAACAACGATTTCCAAAATTTCTTTTATTTTCTAGCTGGACAATCTCTATAGGAGGCTTTTTATAAAGAGCAAAAACATAATTATAGTGATTAATTTAAATAAACTCCAAACAATGCAGATTCTCATATGGTTTTTGTAGAGCCTTGGCATAAATGAATGCTGATGGAGTGACAACACATTTCTCTGCTTCCCTTGGTCACCTCAATTTTGTTATTTTGGATAATGTACCACTCAAGGAATGATTGTAGCACAGGCTCTCAGAGGAGAGACTCCAGAATTTGAACACCAGGCATTTGCTTCAATCCTTAAATCTGGGAGGTATTATTTACACTGAAAACCAGCATTTACAAACTCTTTACCCACTAACTTTAGGTAGAATCTCCTTGACAAATCATCCTCAGCAATGTTTGGTATCAGGTAGGAAAATCTTCCCTCATCCTCAATGATTTAGGTCTGAAGTGTCCACGGATCCTCTCTCCTTTACACAGCAGCTGGAGCTGTCAAAGGAAAAACTTTGACACTGCAGAAGCAACTCAGAGAAGTTAAGGGAAAAATGAGCTTTTCCAGTGTGTACTAAAATGGGAAGATGTGGGACAGGAGCAACTCTTGAGATCGTGACAGCACCAAGCAGGTCCTGACTGATGCCACACATGTGGGGGATGATGTTTTAAGGTCACCACATATTGTTTAATTATTTACTGATTCCTCCTGATAGGGGAAACCTGATGTGAACAGAAACTGGGGAAAGTCGGCTTTTCCCACAAACTGTACAAAAATGTGCTTCTGTTGTCATGATGATTGGCCTATTACCATATTTATAAGAAATTCTTGCTCACTCTGGGATAATTAAGTAAGTAAATGGACTGGAAGATAAACCTGTCAATCAGAGTGGCACTGCAAACACTGTGCACCCTTCAGCTGGAAATTCCCGAGCAGCAGCTGGCAAAGGGAGCTGTGCCTTGGCTGGGAGCAACCCTGAGAGAGATCAGTCTGGGGAGGGCTGGGGGCTCCAGGGCCAAGCTGGATTTGCTACCAATTCAGATCTGCAATTGTGTTCTCTGAAGTTGTTTGTCCCACCAGCCAGCTGACCTGCTGAGGGTGGGTTTGTGTCCAACAAATGGACTTGCAGTGCTCAAGCAGAGGCTGTTCTGATAGACAGTGATGCAGCCAGTCCTGCACAATAAACATTGTAAATATCTCCACAAGCACTCATGAAAACACCTTAGATCTCTCTGTGACGAATTCCAGCTGACCCCTTTACTGACTCCCCGGAAAGGAAACTTTACCATCTGCAACCCCAAACCCACTCTCTTCCTCGTACATGGAAGGCTGCTAGCACACTTTTTTTTTTCTCCCCTCCGGGTGAATGGTTGATTTATAACTACTTATAGAATATCTCTGTGCCCTAGTCTCAGTTTACGCTCTTTGCTGAGTCATAAACATAAATCAGAGATGTGGGTGGATCCCTGTTTGTTATTAAAGCACCTTATGTTTCTCTAATCCTCACCAGAGGAAGCAGAAATTACTGGTAATACATTAAAGTTACAGTAGGTTGTTGGAGAATAGAATATCCCCCCAGATTATTGCCACAGATTGCCTATCATGTTATTTTGTCATTGAATGGAAGATCAAATAAATTATAAGTATTAAAAAAAATTGTTGAAAATATATGCTAGGAGATTATTGATTGTGAAAAGGCAGACAAGGGGGATGCA